AAATATCGGACTTCTTGTTGATCATTCGTTCCCCATTACTGCCATCATGAATCTCGATTCAATGCGGGATACCTACGCCGGCGTAATAAGAAAATTTGGCCTATTTACTTCTTTTACACACTTTCCTTGCAGAAAATCACTACGCACGGGTAACAAAACCAATATTTACTGTGCAATTTGATCATGGTCCGGACGTTACACCTGAAGAATATCGGAGAAATATTGTGATAATAACAATAAAGATGAGGATATTGGTCTAACTCTAATTAATGTATAAAATTATCGCTACTCATTCCAGAAATTCACTGTCTACATTCTGCGTCAAACGTCCCAAATAAGTTATTTTCCAAGCGTAGCTTAGATGTGGCACAAGGTCGAAAGTATGGGGCACCCAGTTAGGATCGAACTCACTACTCGAAATGGATCTAGCGAGACAAGCTTGCTAACATTACACCACCTCGAGGTGTCCTCAAACGTCCCAAATAAAGAGAATACTCCAAACCACCAAACAGCAAATATCGTCCCCTGAAGTTGACTGCATTCTTCTTCTAACTACCGTCTCCCTTCACTACGTGGTTGATCATTGATCTCCACAACTTCCTATCCTTTGTAACGCTAATCAATATTGTCCTCTTACTAAGCTCGTTATGTAAGTTATCAGCTGTTTCTCTCTGCTCTTCTTGCCTTCAGTATATCCTGTGTGTTTCGAATTCTTCAAGCCGTCTTTCCTCATTATTTTTCAAAGACTATCATGTGTCTCTTTCTTTAAGTGCACATTTCGTTCGTATTTCTCTTAAAACTTCCTTGTTACTGACATGTCTCCCTTATAGTATTCTCAGCATCCTTTTGTAGAACCAAAATTTCTGTTGCATCAAGTCTTCTCTTAATCTGCGAGGAAATTGCCCAGCATTCACTTCCACATTTATTTATATTTTATAACAGTTCAATATTATTGGTCCTGATCTGGCGGCTCTGCTCCAGTCATTTTCCTAACGCCGTAAGGTGGCCTCTCAGTGTCATTTCTATAAATATTTTCATGCTAATTGTTCGGATGAGCTCTTCGGTATGACATCTAAAAAATTTTTCATTTAAGCGCAGTACCTAGATTGGCGTCTATATATTGAGATGGCTAGGTGTAACCGTAAGTTTTATGCTAACAGTTTCTTTTCTCGCACTTCGCGCTCGTGGAACTCCCTCCCGGCTCCGCGTTTTCCAGTCAACTTTAATCTGAAAAAATTTAAATGCAATGTCAATCGCTATCTATTGTCTTCCTGATTACTTTTTTCTCTTCCCGCCCATTATTAATGTTTCTGTTCCTAGTTCTTCCACACTTTGTAACCTCTTTGTGTCTTAGCGACTTTAATGTCTTGCTTGGAGTGATACGGATTTAAAAATAAAGTTCTGTATTTCAAGCGAAATATTCCCGTTTTTTAAACGTTTTGATTGGTTGATTTTATTTAGCGGCATATCAACACTTTATTGGGTTAATTAATGGCAAAATCTAAATATTTTGAACACAATGCTATCGCTTCTACTAGATATATTTTGAACGAAATTATATGCTTTCAGCTGCAAATAAAAGGTATTGTTGGTCATTTTGTTATAAAATGTACTGTTAATAATTTTATTATAAAACTAGCAGTAGAGCCCGGCGTTGTCCGGGGATGTAACAGTAAGAGATAGAACAAGTATCGACTATCATAAAGACTGAAAAATAAAATTGACAAAGATTATTGTTTAAGGTTGACGGACACGCATGTCTTAACTGTTTTGTTTTTTTGTGTTTTTTGTTTTTTTTGTTTTTCTTCTTGCTTTTTTACGAATTGGTCAAACCCAAACTCAAACAAAAACATTGTTTTCAATCGTTATGAGTTTACCGATTGAATAGAATTTTATTATAAACAATTGTCTTGTAAATGGAATTTTTAAAGCATTCTGAATGTAAAAATAAAGAAAAAAGTGTGCAAGACAATAAGAAACACTACCTGCCAAAAAAAAAAGTGAAGTTTTGTTGAAATCGGTTGAAAAATGTAGGAAATCCGATCCCATATATAAATGAACACACACACATACACACACACACACACACACAAACAACCTGGGTTTTATAATAATTATAATTCAATATGAGTTGTCCCTCTTTCATTCTGGCGACCGTGATGCCTCTTAATCGTGTTTTCAAATTGATTTCGTGCAAAAACAATTGTGTTTTTCCAATTTTGGGCGCTGTCAGAACCACTGCAAGGTAATTTTACGTAGTCCTGTGAAGTTTTGTTGAAATCGGTTGAAAAATGTAGGAAATCCGATCCAATATATAAACGAACAGACACACACACACACACACAACCTGGGTTTTATAATACGTATGATGTATTGCTGGTCACTTTGTATTGTTGGTAATTCTACTATAAATATATATAGTTGATAATTTTTTATAGTATTTTGTTTTTGTTTGGGGGTTCACTATTTGCCCATAGCGGGTACTCTATCAGGTGCTATTACTCCGGGTAAGGATGAACCTGGAAACAAAAACAATTAAGAGGTGGTTCCACGTTCCTCAAAACCACCACTCTCCTGATCAGAGTCCCCGTTGCCGGATGTATTTTCTCGTCATACCAAGACTACATAACGCTGTTTTAATCATCAAAAATAGTTAAATCTATTTGACAGTTTGATACAATTGAAATAAAGTTCATTTCACAGCACAATATTCAGTTCCCTGGCAGATTTCGGAGTAAAAATATCGGTAAATCACGCGAAAAGATCAAATTGACTTTTAACTTTGTCTGTGCATTGAATACTGATGCCATATCTGGTCTGGTGCTCCTGCTGTACATCTGGAGATTCTTGACAAAACTAAAGAAGGATCTGTAATATAATTGATCAAGACCCGGCATCTCGACGTCAGCTACTTTCTCACCGACATGATGTAGTTTCAGCCCTGCCTTTTCTACAAATATTTTCATGACAACTGCTCTGACGAATTTTTTCCCGGCACCCTGACTAAATGAATTTAAACATGCTACTAGATTGGGGTACCGATCATAATTCCGAATCTTAAATCCGGAATGTCGAAATCTTGAAATTTAAAATGCCGAAAGATCAGAATGCCGAAAATATGTATCACGCATGGCACTGACTGACTATTAGAAATATTAATCCAATGAATCTAAAAGTTGTCTTTTTTCTACTTTGACTTCATTTTTATAATCTAAAATTGTTAAAATATCATTTTTATAGATTTTACATTCACACTATTTACATTGTTCGGACTATCATCCGAATCTTTGTTGCCATATTTATCACAACGTTTCGGCCGTTGTACGCTCCGGTCATCTTCAGGCGATTGGAATGTCGAACTGAACCCTTAATTTCGCTCGCTGGGGTAGACTGTTCTAGTTCCACGTGCCATGTCTAATCTCCTGTTAATTCCCCTCTCCAAGTTCTCCACCGCCTAAACTCATACTCTTTGGGTCCTGTTACTGGAACTAACTCGTTTATCCACTGGGCCATGTATCCTTGAGAACATCTGTGTATGAATTTCTGGGTATTATAAACCTAATGTCTTCAGCATCATTTTTACCAGTGCCCATATTGCAAATTTTGCTGTTATCATTGCATGTTTTTTTACCAGAGCTCATATTGCAATTTTCGTTGTTATTATTGCTTTTCTCTAGCACTCCTTATTACTGGTTCCCATATTGTATTCATTTCTATGCTTGTTCGGCTTAGGGGATTTTCGTGGCCTAGCATATGTGCTGATTCCTTAAGTTTACGAATTTTCCAATGAGGTTGTTTGTCAGATTTCAATCTGATCCAACAGAGAGCGATGATCTCCCTTTTCTCTCGATATGTGGTCAGCCACGCCTGATTTTTCCACTTCCCTCGTGTTACATCTTTTTGGTATTCTTGAAGCCTTACTTTAAGGGGGCGGCCTGTCTCGCCTTTATATTTCTTTCCGCAGCTGCACAGGATTGCGTACACACAGTTTTTAGTCATGTTCTCCTCTAATTAAACGAAACAAAGCCAAAAAACTTTTAAAATAGTGTTTCTGAAACTTTTCTTCCTTGAGGCCCCTTTTTTTTCTTCTTCTTTTTTTCTTTTTTTGGTGTCAAAATTATTTCAAGCCAACATAAGCAAAAATAGAAATTCCATGAAATAAGAAATATACTTTATCTACAAAAGCAAAATGTAGTAGAAAATAAAAATTCTGAATAATGAATACACTGCTCCTGGTATCGACGGGCTCATTTAAAATATTTCTCCGGCCCACTGTTTGACTTAAGGAATCGTGTCGAATATCAATGCTTTAAAACTTAATTTTGTTGTTTTTTACCTGTTTGGCTTACATATTTTTCCCGCCGTTTAAGGGTTAATCATTTGCACATAGATCTTCATCTTTGTTGTTCTTATCACGTCCGCTATTAATCTATCCTTTTGCTAAGATAGCGACAATAGTCACCTTTGGATTTTTACACACACTGCAGTATGTGTGCGCGCATACACGAACCCACTAATTAACTGATGGAAAACTGTTTTATTATTGTCAAAAATGTAGTCAAATTATCCAGGTGTAAAATCAGTTTACATTTTACGGTAGATTCAATCGACAGTATGGAAATATCTTTTGGTATCTGCTTTCACGGGGCGTGATTCGCTAATGATTTCATGGAAAAAATATTAAATACTCAGCGAAAGAGATACTGCATCAATGACAAAAACTACTCCATTGTACACGTGCCAGTAGAACTGATGACGTTTGAAGCTAAAGGCAAATAAAGTTGTTAAATTACCTCCTTTTTTTCACCGTACAAAGAGGCAGATTTCGAAACCGATAGAGACAATGAAAGATAAATACGAAAATGCTTCGTTGGGTATGTTTGTTACTTTCAGGGTATCAAATCAAACTTGATGTTTTCTAAATTTTTTTTGTTTGTTTTTTAACCAAATGCTTTTGTGATGTTTGTTGACATATTTTATATCGGGCATTTATCTTTATATTACGATTTTCGCTGGATACGAAAAGGGAGTGTGAGAGGAGTGGTAAAAAAAACCGTAGAAAAGAGGAAGAAATGGGCGGGAACAATGAAGTAAACTGTGGATGAGAATAGGAAAAGCGTAATGTTCTGGAAATAGTTGAAGAGAAAGTCATTTAACAGAAAGATAATTGAAAGAGTACGAGAAATGGATGAAAGAGGAAGTACAGAATCGGGGCAAAATTCTGCGAAAGAAAATAAAGATCGACGCCAAGAAGAAAGAAACAAAGAAAAAGAACAGAAATTGAAAGGGAAAAAAAGAACAGAAAGAAAACGGAAAGAAAAGGACCTGAAAACAATAGACTGGCGTAAAATTAAAAAAAAAAAAAGCAATATGAAATAGAACCTGAGAAAGAAAGAAAGAAAGAAACAAAGAAAGGACAAAGAGACATATAACAATGAAGTAAGAAAAAAATCGAGAAAATTGGCGAAATAATGAATTAAACGATTAAGCAAAAACAGAAAGATAACGAAATGACAATGTGAAAAGAAAAACTAATGAAACAGATGTTGACATTATATATATATATATATATATATATATATATATATATATATATATATATAAAAAGAACTAACGGACTTTTTTTTTTATCTAGGTTTTTAAATAACAATATGCCAGATTAAATTAATAAAAAAAAACTAATTCTTTAGAAACTGGTTTATTTTCGTTATTTTTTTTTTTTTTTTTCTCCTTAGAGTTGCTTTGTTTATGTGCCGGGTACGAAACTAAGCCGATATGTGTTTCGGGGAATCTGAACGATTCAGCGTACTTTAACGATAGAAATAGCACCTTGCTTTCTCGCGACGCTCTTTGTAGACGTGCGGTAAAAGCAAGCCGCGTAAGACGGTGGTTTATCCTACAAAGGGGGACGCAGGTTGGAATTCTTTTGCAGGACTTATTGAATTTATTAGGTTTCCTCGAGTTAGCACGCCGATAGATGAAATAAATACTGCCTAAATCAACGGACCGTTTACTCAACTATCAAATACGGGTATCCACTAAAAATTGCGTTTAAATTAATAATAATGATAATAATAAACCCGGCATGAGAAGTGGGCCAATATCTGCACTGAAAAATCTGCAATTTTGACGGAAAGGAAACTGCAAGAAATTGGTATGAACACCACCCAGAACTGGTTACGGAGACAGAAACTATAACAATTTTATGGGACTTTACAATCCACACAGACAGAATAATCAAAGGTAATCGCCCAGATATCGTGATTATAGACCGCCAAGACAAAAAAGTGCCTCTTTATTGACATGGTAGTTTGTGCAGATTTCAATATATCTTTGTAGATCTTCAGAATAAACTATCAAAGTACAAGGTCTTTGAAATCGAAGTCTCAAAACGTGGCACATGAGAACATCAACAATTCCAGTTGTAGTTGGAGTCTTGGATTTACTGGAAAAGATTCCAATAGACTCACTGAAGGAATTCCTGGTAGCTGATGCCTTAAACAAATACAAAAAATTTATCTCACGAGTACAGCACACATCTTATTAATGGCTTTATTTATGTAAAATATGTGTGATATTTTTTTTCTTTTGTCAAAATTGCTGAGTGGAAAATGTCATGATGCCATTTCTGACCTTATATATATATATATATATATATATATATATATATATATATATATATATATATATATATATATATATATATATATAAATTACAGTATATATATATATATATATATATATATACTACTTTTAATATATATATATATATATATATATATATATATATATATATATATATATATATATATATATATACTTTAATATATCTTTATATATATATATATATATATATATACTACTTAATATATCTTTATATATATATATATATATATATATATATATATATATATACTTTAATATATATATATATATATATATATATATATATATATATATATATATATATTTATGCGTGTCCGAGTGGTTAAAACGTTTGCTTTCTCACCATGAGACCAGATCCGGGTTCGAATTTCACCACGGTTGATTGGTCAGTAACGCTCCCAGCGTGCGGCACATTTGGAAAGTGTCTGAAAACCATACTACGCCTTGTGAGTGTAATTGGATAGACAGAACACTTGCTAACACGAAGTCACAAGTCATTGTGACCGAGGGTATGAGTGTGCCGGCGTTGTTCAGATTGTAGATAACACGCTCTTTCACAGAAACTGTAACTAAGGTCTGCTCAGTATAGTTGCAGTATAAACCACAGATTGGCTCTGTGGGCTAGGATTGGGTAGCTACCCTAGTGGACAGGTATCCTCAAATACGATTGGCAACCTATTATTATTATTATTATTATTAATAATATTATTATATATTACTTTAATAATTATTACTATTAAAATTTGTTGTGGATAAAAAACAATGTTGGACTCAAATATATAATTGCTTTAAAAATTAGCGTTTTTACTTTTTGAATACAAAAATATGTTAACGGATCTCGACATTGAAAGTTCAAATGAGAGATGTGCGTTTTACAAATGGGATAACTGAGCTGAGAATTATTGCAGACACCTCGTGGTGAAATGGTAAAACCACTTCTGGCTACACGGTTTTTTCCCAGAATAAAAGGAATTACCATTTTATGTCTATTTTTGTTAATTTAACTTTCCGTTGTATAGATCAATGGGAATTAATTTCACTATTTAAAAATGTCGACGTCAACATGTGTTCCAATAAAATAGCATTTATAGCAACAAATATAATATGGAATTAAAATCTGTTAATTACTTAAAATATGTATTAAATTAATTTGTATATTTAATCGTAATATATTCAAACAGTTAAAACTTTTCTCTACACACAGGATTCTAAATAATGATTTCCAAGCTAGGCGGTCTCTCTCTAATTGTAATACTGACGCAACAAAATCTTCCTGTATTTTTGTATTGTATATGTACTGTACATAACTGTGTTAAGTAAATAGAAAAATGACGTAAGGAAAAAGTAATATTCAAGAAAAGAAGAATACAGCAGAAAGTCAATTAAGAATTGGAATGATTGTACTGTGCCAATCTTCCAAAGAAAGAAAAGGTCAATCGAAACAGATGAAGAGAAACGAAAATAAAGAAAGATAACAATAAAGATACAGAAAGAAATAAGAGGGATAAAGAAAGAAAGAAAGAAAGAAAGAAAGAAAGAAAGAAAGAAAGAAAGAAAGAGAGAAAGGTTATTTAGGGGTTCAAGAAAGAGGAAAATAGAAGCAGGTTATCGAAAAGAAAGAAACCAGTAAATGATAAAGAAAGAAAGAAACTACTACAAGACAAAGAAAGAAAGAAAGAAAGAAAGAAAGAAAGAAAGAAAGAAAGAAAGAAAGAAAGAAACAGATTGAGAAAGAAAGACAGAAAGATTGATAAATAAAGAATGAATGAATGAAACAGACTGAGATTGAAAGAAAGAATATACAGACTGAGAAAGAAAGAAAGAAAGAAAGAAAGAAAGAAAGAAAGAAAGAAAGAAAGAAAGAAAGAAAGAAAGATTTTTCAGGGGCTCGGAAAGAGGTAAATAGAAAGAAAGAACATTCTGAGAAGCGAGAAAAATGAAAGTGAAGCAAATGGAAATAAATAAAAAAAAAGGAATAATGGCGACAATAGTACTTAAAATAAATAAATAAATAAATAAAACCAGATGAAATAAAACGAGAAAGAGGATAAAAAGCAAGAAAAAGCCGAGCAATAAAAGAGAAGTGTTTTGGTGGTACTGCTCCTGTTGAAGATTTTTCTCCAAGTGACTTGTCACCAGACAAGATGGAGGCCGATAAGAGTTTCAACACTGGCAACACATGAAGCGAATCTGCGCTTGAGATTAATTCATTACGTATCCAGTTGCTTACCGCAGACACGTGTCTTTCATTTGCTTAATTTTATAAATATTTCATTTTCATTTATTCGTGTTTTATTACTCAATTCCTTTGTTTGCGTCGCTCTGCTTTGCACCCTCTTTCCGTCTGCTGTCTCTTTAACAAGCGTTTCCTTTCGATATCTGTCTCTCTAGACTTCAGCTCTGTTTTTGTTTGTTTTGGTTTGGTTTGGTTTTTTAGATTTTTTAAAACTTAGCCTGGCACAAGGATATGAGGATTGGGAAAATCCACTGCCAGTCGAGCTTACAACAAATAGCCGACAAGTCGAAACTATAATCATCTCTCTCTCCGGCAGTACCTCAATTTTTCCCTTTAATGTCAACGAGGTACTGCCACTCTCTCTCTCTTTTTCTATCCTACTCACTCTCTCTCTCTTTTCGCCGACCAGTTTGTTCTTTTATCAATATATATATATATATATATCACAGTGTTTCGTTTTCTTTCTTTCTTTCTTTCATTCTTTCTTTCTTTCTTTCTTTCTTTCTTTCTAGCTAGTTAACTGTCTATCAACCTCTATTCATTTCTTTCTCAGTCTGTTCATTTCTTTCTTTCTTTCTATCTATCTATCGATCTATCTAGCTATCTATGTCGGTCTGTTTCTATTTACCTATCTTAGTTTGTTCAGACCTCAATCAGTTCATATCTAGCTATCTCTCTATCTCAGTCTGTTCATATCTATCTATCTATCTATCTATCTATCTCAGTCTGTTCATATCTATCTATCTATCTATCTATCTATCTATCTATCTCAGTCCGTTCATATCTATCTATCTAGCGACCTGAGTTTATTCATTATTTCTAGAAAGTTACTATGGATAGAGACTCGGATTGAGGAATCTGAGAGACAAGTTAGAATCCATTACATTAACGTACGTGCTAATACCCATGGGAAAGGTATGAATCCTCTTCTTCTCCAGCCCAGCTATGGGTAAATAGCAGAACATACCTTGGACAGCAACTGGTCCGCAGAAAGAAATGACAACTTACTGCGGGAAAAAATCTGCTTCGCCAGTCATGTATCGAAAGATACATGATCACCTAAGCGTGTATCTCGCATGACACATAACTGACTGACTTATCTAGAAGCGTGAGGCAATTGTTAACGAGTCTAATCTGAGTGACCATTAGTTCCATCCATACTGGGTGCCTCATGCAAAATTCTACCAAAGTAAAAACCACCCACCTTCGAAACAGTCGAAAGTCTAGTGTTTAAAATACGTTATATTTAGATGCGTAGTATGTCCAGTATCGATGATAATTTTATAATAATATACGAAAAGGCAAATATACAGACTGATTAGTTTATTAATATGGAGACATCTCTATCCTGTATGCATGCATTTCTTTTGAATATATTGGGAACAGGCTTTACGATCTTGACGTAACTTAGCAACCTATCAGAGGAAACCTCATTACGCAAATGAAGCCCCTTAAATAAATAAAAAAAATTCAACAGACAGAACTAGTCCAGTCGACGGCACAAATTGAGTGTTTTAATATGTGTCCATAAATCTGAGATATGGTATTGTAATTATTTACATTGTTCGGACTATTGTCCTCATCTTTATCGTCATGTTCACGGCGTTTCGGACGTTGTACGCTCTGGCCTTCTTCAGGTGATTGGAATTTCGAACTAAACCATTTATTTCGTTCACCAGAGTAGATTGTTCTAGTTTCACGTGTCATGTCTCATCTGGATGTCTCAGTTATCTCCCTTTAACTCAACTGTCCAAGTTTTTGTTCATCACTACCGGAGCCTGGTATTGAACTCTTTGAATCAAGTCACTGGATCCAACTAACACTTTTATCCACTGGGCTATGTGTCCTCGAATTCCAAGAATTTCTGAAGAAGGTCGGAACGTACAACGGCCGAAACGTCGTGAAATTGAGTTTTTTATTTGTTTATTTTATATTTTTCCCCCGTGTGGAAGATTCGTTTGGCAGTTTTTTTCCAATTATTTGTTTGTTCGTGAAATTTTCTGAAGATTATTTCGCATATGAAACAAACAGTCATGATAAATTCCTTTGTTTCTTCGGTTTGGAATTGTGCTCCCGTTCTTTCCTGGGTTGTCATCTTCTGGTCGGGTCAATTGAGCACTGACTGCTTAAGTGGCTTTTCCGGAATATTTCTTTCTCTTTCGCTACTCTAGTCGGGTTTAGTTTTCTTTTGTTTCGTCTTGTTTAGCCTTCATTCATATCTATCTATCTATCTATCTATCTTACGCATTCATTTTTCATTTATTAATCCGATATATCAATTTTTGATAATGTCATAAATGGACGTCCGTATTTACAAAAATCGTCACGTTTTTTCACACACAAAAATTTCAAAATTCTTTTTAAAATACTGGGGTGGCTGAATTGTACTAAGCTTTTCCATTTATGATTATTAAATATAGATTTTATTTAATAATAATATTACCTAACCGGTACAAATTAATGCAGAATCTTAAAAGATTTAAAATAACACTAAGTTATTCGAATTAAATTGTTTCTAAAATGAAAACAATTCTTATAATTATATTATTTATCGGAAATTTGTTTTTCTTAAGACAATAGTGCCCATAATATATTTTATTCATAAAAGCAATTAAAGTTTTTCTAAGTAATGTTTTTTTTTTTATTGCATTTTTTATTTTCCGATTCAGAGTAAATTATTTGTAACTGGGGATTCAGTTTTACAAAAAAAAAAAAATTATGGCTTAAATTCTCCAAGAACTTGTGCTTATAACTAACATAAACATTAAGCCCTTCAAAAATTAATTTCCCGAAATTTCATAAAATTTAATAAGTGAGGTGTGGCAGATGTTAAAAATATATTTTACCAAGATTTTCTAAAATGGAAATATTTCTAAAATAATCTAATTCATTTGTGAATAAGACCTGAAAGTTTAATTAAAATCCGACAATTATTTCTTTCTTTTCCTCCCCACACTCTCTCTCTCTCTTTTTCTCTCTCTCATACAATCCCAATCTCTCACTCTCTCACTTTCTTTCTCTTTGTCTCTCTCCCTCTCTCTTTTTTCATTCCTTATTTTCTCATCCTGCTTGTTATTCAATTGATATCTATTTTCGTCATCTCTTTCCTTTTCCTTCTCTTGAACTCTCTTTCTCTCTCTCTCTCTCTCTCTCTCTCTCTCTCTCTCTCTCTGCCTATATATCTCTAACACACGCACACACTTTCTCTTTATCTATCTTTATTTTCTTATAAACCGTCACTCATTTGTGTTCTATTTTTATCTTCTTTCATTTTCTTTCTCACATGCACTTTTCTATCTCTCTCTCTCTCTTTCTCTCTCTCTTTCTCTGTCTGTCTGTCTGTTTGTCTCTCTCTCTCTCTCTTTCTCTCTCTCTCTCTCTTTCTCTCTCTCTCTTTCTCTCTCTTTCTCTCTCTCTTTCTCTCTCTCTCTCTCTTTATCTCTCTCTTTGTATCTTATTCTTTTGTTTCCTTTCTTATTATTCTCTCTAATTTATTGGAATTCTCTTTTAGTCTTCTCTTACACTCTCTTTCTCTCCTCTTCTCCCTCATTTCTTTTCTTATTTGTTCTCTCTCACAAACATTTATCTGGGACCTCTTTTTTTACTAGCAATGAAAATCTTTTCATCGGTACGTAACAGATTAACAAAGATCGATAACATAAATGATTATAATTAGATTCAGTTTCGGTAATCGGTCAATATTGTGTCAGATTGAGCAGAATGTATAGGACGATACATGTACTGCTGACAACACGTGTCACCTCTGTCCTGCGATTGGGAGTGACGCGTCAACAGTGAAACAGTTTTACACGTTTATTAAAAAAAAAAAAAAATTTTTTTACTCAATCGCTACTATTGACGAACAATAAGATTAACATTAGAAGTCATTTTACAATTCGTTTATATTTTATTGCTGCTTGACTAACAATGCAATATGAAGTAACTTTTATTTTGTGTACTTGAAGATAACAGAAACGAGTAAAACTTATCTTGTTAGACAAGTCCTGTGTGAATATCTTCTTCTTCTTCTTCTTCTTCTTCTTCTTCTTCTTCTTCTTCTTCTTCTATGTACTGTGTCTCTTTAGGACATTAGTGATCATTGCTCTCCACAATTTCCTCTTCTGCGTAGTCAATTTTGTTTTTTGTTATCTCTCCTAAATCCTGTCCAGCCATCTATTTATACAAGCTCGTTAGGGAGTTTATGCACTTCTTCTGTCCCCTTGACTTCAATACTGTCTTGTGAGTGCCAAATTTTCCAAGCCCTCTTTCCTCGTTACATGCCCTAGGAATTTCAATCGTGTCTTTCTGGTGTTAAATATAAGTGTCTTTTTGTTTCCATTTTCTCTAAAACTTCGTCGTTGATCACTTCATGGTATTCTCAGCATCCTTCTGTAGTTTATGTTGCTTCAAGTCTCTTCTACATTTGTGATGAGATTGCCCAGTATACACTGCCATATAGGAGAACTGATATTACGTAACGATTCAGTACTTTTTTCTTTGTTTCTAGTTAAATATTCCCGTTTCTTAATACTTTGCTTAGCGTTTAGAAGGCACCTTTCGCTATCCCAAAGCTCATTTCGGATTTCGGTGTCACCCTTTCAGTTCTCTGTTAAAATACTTCACAGATATTTAAATTCCGGTATTATTTCAGGGGTTTACTTTCAACAATATAAATAAGTTTCTAATTCCTTGATTTTATATTATAACCGATTTTAAAGTGGTGCTGTATATAGCACAAAACAAGCGGGAAAATGCCATAAGATATGCGCTTCTTATACGAAGATTGTATATACAAATGTTATTTCTAAACGCCTAAAGTCCGCTGTTAATCATGATATTAGTTCAATTCGTATATAATTTATGTTATAATTATTAGCGAATAAACTTACGCTGTTTCTGATCTTCACCATTGATCTTCCTGATGTCATCAGTTCCCATGTGGGCA